TCGAGAATGCAGAACACCGTACATTCACTTACCAAATCGATTTTCAAAAAAAAAAAATCAGATTTTCATTTTTTCAATATAAGCATAAAATAAATATTAAATATATATGAAGCACAAAATATAAATACATATGAATATGGTGCTCAATTTTCAATTTTTCAATATTGAATTACACAAAATTTAGAATATAATCTTCACATTTAACTGAATCATATTAACACTATCAAAGAATACAAGCAAAATAATTTATATAATCTCGTATATTCTTATTCAAGTATGAAATATGCAAGTATATTTTTTTCTAGATGACACAATACTGTTATGCAATTGTAAAAATAATTTGCAATTATTTTCTTATATCATGGAAATATTTCTAGATATTGCTTCAAAAACTTTCCAAAAAATTAAAATTCATACACTAATAAAAATACGATAAATATCAAATCTGTGCAACGCACGCAACAGTCATTATGCGAAGAGGTTTTTTTTTTAACTTCGCACTGTACGGAGAGTTTGTCAACTCTCCGCATTGTGCGAATTTTATTTTTATTTTTTTGCTTTTATTACTTCGCACTGTACGGAAAGTCCGCACTTTATGAGGACAGTGTCCTCACAAATTGTGCGGACTGTCCGCACAGAATGTCATCTCTCCACACTATGCGAAGAGTTTTGCCATGATTTTTGTCATATCTTCACACTGTACGGAGAGATTTTTTATTTTTTTTATTCGCACTGTATGGAGAGTTTGTCAACTCTCCGCACATGGTTTGTCATCTCTTCACATTGTGCGGAGAGTTTATTTTTACTTTTTTTAAAACTCATGTATGAAGAGTTTTTTTTCTCATGACAGTTTATATTTACTAAAATTATTATTATTTTTTTAATTATAATGGCATGATGTATGGAAGAACATTTGTTTGACATAATTAATTTTTTAATGCTAGTGGGATAATGTGTGGAAAAATATTTGTTTGACATAAACAAAATTGAAAATAAAAAATGAAATTATGCATAATAAAATTGGATTCATTTACTATTACATAAATAGTAGACCCTCATTCCCCTTTTTATTAAGAGATATAAATGCTTTATCCTCTAACCATGAATTTGGTCACAAATTGGACTAATCACCATTGTAGAATCCATTGACATGTCATCAATTATCATGAGTGAAATGCACTTACATTTAGTTGAAATAAAAATAAAATGTTGTTACTTGATTAAAATCAAAACCTAATTCATATCTTATTAAAAATCAGCTATTTGATTGAACAAAAATAAAGTACACCCGTCTTTTTGAAATAAAGTAATTGTTAAGGGATATAATCCCACATCGAATAAAGATAAAAATATAAATCAACTTATAAGGCCTTGAATTACTCTTCTTAATAGGGTTAACCTTTTAAGATGGAACCTCAAATCTTAACATGATATCAAAGCCCATTAAACTTCAACGAGGGATTCTATCCAATTAAAACTTAATAAATGAGTATATGAATTTCAAAATTGGTCTACTCAAAATGAACAATCATCTTGTGGGGACATGTTAAGGGATATAATTCCACATCGAATAAAGATGAAAATATATACTAATTTATAAGGTTTTAGGCTACCCCTCTTAACAAAATTGACATTTTAAAATAGAACTCCAAGTTTTAACAGTAATCTATAGTCGTGACGAATGGAATTTACTTGTGAATTGAAAGCAGGGTTTCACATTCAATGGAGAAAACAAAAACTAAAACACTGCATAATGCATGCAACTAGCGTCTAAATTGTACCTTATCATACACGAATTATAAGTTATCAAGTTCCTATTTAGTTTAGTTAAAAATCAAAAATTTTGATAGATTTGAATAAAAGTTGATGAAATAAGTAATTGAAAAATTGTGAATCCCATAAAATGTATAATTAATAGTGCATTTGAGTGCAAGTATAGAATTTGCATGGAAATAAAATGAATTATAGGCAATTCACTTGTTTAGAACTTATTTGCATGAAAATTGTCAATTAAATATGTTTGATTGATTTAATTTTTAATCTAAAAGATATTATACTTATCCATTTTTTATTGATGGATAGATGAGAGAGAGAGAGAGAGAAAGTGAGAGTGAATTCCTAGAAAAATAAAATCATACTCTCCTCAAAGAGAATATTTTCTTTGATTTTGAGGAAAATATGGTCACGTAACAAAAAATAGAAAAATATTTTCATGGAAAAATGTCAATCAAATAGTATAAAAGTAGAAATTTATGTGAAAAAAACACATTTTTCATGAAAAATATTAGCAATCAAATACACCCTAAGATTATGGCTTCACCTTAAAATTTTAATCTAATTTTTTTGTCTTAAGTTAATGTAAGACCCCCAATTGATAAAAGTTTGGAACATTGCAATTAAAATGCAGTATTAAAAAAATAAAAATAAATAAATAAATACTGTGGTATGAATATAATTAACACTAGAAGAAATATTTTTGGACAATTATGTCCTTAATTTTAATGTTTTCTAATTTTGCCTCGAATTAGTCATTGTATTGAAATGTTATTATTAATGTATTTCTTAAAATTAGTTTAACTAAAAATATTAAATTGGACATCATTTTTTTTGTAGTAACTTAAGGTTTGTAAATGACATGAAATTTTGATCGAGGAAAAATTGAGGCATGGATAAACTAAGAATTATTCGCAATATAATGGAAAAACATTGATGCATGAAAAATGTTTATTCAAATATGCATTTTCACAAAATGGAAACATTTATTTCGGCTTGTACATTGGCCTGTAAATTGAAAGCTTGACCACCTCATCATCATCAATGGGAAAAAAAATTTAATTGAATAGAATGTTTGGCTAAGCTTATAAGCACTACTTATTGGCTTATTTTTTACTGCAAGATAAGAGGGTAAATAAGCAGCTAAAATACTTAGCCAGACATGTATTAGATTACATTGCACAAAATCACGCTGCACCTTACTTGTTTCCTTCCGCCATGGACAATTCAAAATTCATGATCTTGTTCTGTCTCACAACAGGGGAAATCAGTTTCCACACTGCATTCAGAGATTTACATGTTACTAGGATTTAAGCTCGAAATCAAACGATCGGCCTTTTATGGGGACGAGCAACTAATTTTCTAACAGTTTAACATTTTGAATGAGATGATTCAAGTTCAAAAATATACTTCCTAATTCTTATTGAAAAGTTCACCGATGCTCACACAGAATGTCCTAGCCTCCTAGGCAATTTTCTATAGAGAACTGGCCCTAAAATTTCAAGAACATGCAAAACATCGATGCTCATACAAAACAGAATGTGGTGGCTGCAAACCACTCATTACCGATCTTCACCCACGTACTCGCTCAGCCAATGTGGATGATCTATCTGCTTTGGATAACAGATTAATAAAGGAAAAAATGAAAAATTCAAAATGTTTGGGGATAAAATTGAGGAAATGTCTACAATACCTAAATTTAACTAGATAATTAAAGAAAATTACTTTCTTTTAGAAGAGATTGAACTAAGAGGGGGGTGAAGTCACTCTAAGATATATGAGATCGGCCCAGTAATATCGGCTTGTCTTAAAGGAGTCATCAACTATAGAAAAAGTTGACTGACTATCGATCATTCTTTTCCTCCCCGAGCATGTTCACGCAAACGAGAATAAATCTACACAAAACTACTATCATACATGTTTGAAGCAGAAAAAAAAAAGTGTTTATCCTCTAACCATAAATATGGTCATAGATTGGATTAATCGGTATCATAGCATTGATTGATATGTCATGTATTATTGTGAGCGAAATTGACTTAGTACGTTTAATTGAAACAAAAATAAAAAGTAATTACTTGATTGAAATCAAAATCTAATTGAAATTCTATTATAGTTACTCGATTAAACAAAAATAAAGTACAGTAATCTTATCGAAATAGATTGAACGTGAAGTTTCAACGAGTGAAATTTACTTGTTAATTCAAAGTACTAGTTTCACATTCAATGGAGAAAACAAAAGCTAATACATAATGCTTGCAGTCAACCACTAACTTGTACCTTATTATCGACAAATTATGAGTTACTAAGTTCATGTTTGGTTTAAATAACAGTAAAAAATATTTAGTAGATTTTGACAAAAGTTGAAGAAATATGTGATCGTAAAGTTGTGAATCTCATAAAATATTTAATTCAAATTAATTGTCGATTTTAATTTAAATTTTACTCAATTTTTTAGTTGAACCGAATAAAGGCTAAGTTAATATAAGAACCCCAATTGACAAAAATAATAATAATAAATAAATTAAACACAATGTCCTAAAAATTGAAGTTAACGGACTGTCATTAGAAAATTATAAAATTGGCAAAATAAATAAAAATAAATTCCATCCATTATTATCGATCTTTCATTAATTAAAATATCTTGTCCTCAATGACGATTTCCGTCCAAAACAGTTGTTTGGAAGACATAGAAAAACTTATTTGTGCCTTACATATCTTCAAAAAATAAGATACCAAATATAAAAGTTCGACAAAATATTTATCCCCTTATTTTAAAGCATACTAACGGAATGTTTGAATAAAATTTATGTTGATGACAAGATGTACTCAGTAAGTGAAGGTTGAAAATAAGAATGCGATAAAAAAAAAATAATAATAAAAAGTTGAAAACGTAAGTGTGACTAGAAGCAAATATTAGGAACATTGCAATTAAAACGAAGTACAACCAAAAAATTGTGGTATGAAATATAATTACCACTGGAAGAAATATTTTTTGGACGATTATGTCCTTATTACTATTATTTTATAATTTTCAAATTCTCCATTGAACTAGTCATTGTATTGAAATGTTATTGTTATTGCATATCTTACAATTAGTTTAATTAAAAATATTAAATTGGGCATCAATTGTTTTTGTAACTTTAGGTTTGTAAATGACATGAAATTTTAATTGAGGAAAAATTGAGGCCTAATAAACTAAGAATTATTCGCAATATAATGGAAAAACATTGATGCATGAGAAATGTTATTCAAATAAGCATTTTCACAAAATGGACACATCTATTTCGGCTTGTACATTGGCCTGTAAATTGAAGGCTTGACCACCTCATCATCATCAATGGGGAAAAAAGAAGAAGAATAGAATGTTTGGCTAAGTTTATAAGCACTGCTTATTGGCTTATTTTTTACTGCAAAATAAGAGGGTAAATAAGCAGCTCAAATACTTGGCCAAACATGTACTAGATTACATTGTACAAAATCATGCTGCTTCTGACTTGTTTACTTCCTCCATGGACACTTCATGATTCATGATCTTGTCCTGTCTCACAACAGGGGAAATCAGTTTCCACACTGCATTCAGACACTTACATGTCAAAATTAGAACTCAAAGCTCGAAATCGAAAGATCAGTCTTCTATGGGGACGAGCAACTAATCACTTAACGATTTAACATTTTGGATGAGATGATTCAAGTCAACAATGTACTCCTGATTCTTATCGAAAAATTCATCGATGCTCACACAAAATGTCTTGAGGCGATTTTCTAAACGGAACCGGCCCTAAAATTTTTAAGAACTTACAAATCATTTTTCATACAAAACAGACACTTACAGTATATGGTGGCCGCAAACCACTCGTTAACGATCTTCACCCACGTACTAGCCCAGCCAACGTCGATGCTCCATCTGATTTAGAGAACTGATTAGTAAAGGAAAAAACGCGAACCATCCAAGTTTGAAAAGAATATTTATAACGTACTTTCTTGTCGAGCTTTCTAAATTCCAACTGATGAATAGCATCGCGAAATACATGGCCCCCAAAGAAAATACGACATGAAAGAATCCGTATTTATATGGTATATCGTCCTCTAACTGAACTTCGCCTTTCCGAAACTGGAAATATAACAATACACAATACATCTACATCAAGCAGGCAATGCATTTGAAGTATAAAATGATGATAATGAACTTCTTTTTTTTTTTAATCATTGTTTGGAATTACATCACCTGAAATGATTGTGAATCAATCCCTGTGGAAAATGTAGCTATGACAATTGCAAATATGGCAATGAGGAAGCCCTATAAGCAAAAGCATAACAAAGATAGTAGGGAACAATTTACATAAAAGTAGAGAAAATTTACAAACCACTCTAGTCTACTAGAAAAAAAAATTGCAAGAAATTTTTGGAATTTGTTTGAAGGGTAGATTTCAGAGTGAGAAGAAAATGAAAATCAAAGAGAATCTGAAGTCTTACAATTACAGTGGTCACACCACCATGTGCATTCTCTTGTTTCTGAGGGCTGCAATTTTCACTCGCAGGCTCACTGAAATTAATTTTTACAAAACAAGAAAAATGAAATTAGAATGCATAAATATAATTTTAAGTTCAATGAAGAAACATGCTTTGCTTGAAAGCAAACATTTGACTACAATGTTTCATGTAAGGTAGTTAAGCTTTCAAGATGAGTGATGTGAACTTTTTTGTCGATAGATCTCAAAATCCAATTCAAGAAGAAAGTGACTTGATGAAAGCTAGTAACAACTAGTGGCGTGGGATGGAAAGCGAATAGACGGAAAAATCTAAG